AACCCCAAACTCACCCCGCCCCTTCCGCCGCCATGGGCGGAGCGCGGCTTCCGGAACCGGCGACCGGAAGGCGAGGCGGCGCGAGCGCCGTTTCCGCTTCCGTCAAGGCGGTGGGCGGGGCGCCGGGGCGCGCGCGGGGCTGCGGGAGTGCGTCGCGCCCCGGCTGGTCAGTACCGAACCGCGAAAGCAGAGCCTTGTCCGCTGCGGTTGTCGAGTCTGCAGCGTGCGCCCTTGTCGCCGGTGTCCACGAGGATGTGCCTTTGCCTTCTAGAGGAAGTAACGTCCACTCACCTGTCCCCTAGCAGCACTGGACCCTGTTGACCGGTCCCCCGGCCGCCAGTGCGCGGGGCTGGCTGGGCGCTGTGGCTAGGGTTGGGGAAGAAGTCCACTCCTCCGTGGAGATCTGTGCCCAGCGCACCTATGGGCCCTGAGGTGTGAGGGTCTCGGGGGAGTGGTGGGATTATAAAACGGTCCCAGGAGCCGGGCGCCCGTGGCTCACGCCTGTCATCCTCGCTATTCAGAAGGCTGAGATCTGAGGATCGCAGTTCGAAGCCAGCCCAGGGCAGGAAAGTCCCGGTGAGACTCTTTATCTCCAATGAGCCACCAGAAAACCGGAAGTGGTGCTGTGGCTCAAAGTGAGCTCAGAGACAACGCACAGGCTTTGAGTTCAAGCCCCACAACCGAAAAGAAAACCCCACAAAACCAAATGCGGTCTCAGACGTGCTTCTGGGTGCGTGGTGGCTGCCGGTTGAGTTACTCCGTGTGATTCATGTAGCCCTTGAGGGCTTGGTACTGCCGTATCGGTTCCAACAGGTCCTACACATGTTCCAGCGCTTCCTGTCCTGTTCATTGTCCCATCCTGCTCCCTTCAGACTTGAAGACCAAGCACCTCTCTTTCCAAAAATCTACTTGCCCTCCCTCATCAACCCATAAGGACCCACTAACGGTCAACATCCTACCAAAAAACTGGCCGAACAGATGTGGAAAAAGTTTTCTGTCTAAGCCTGCTTCTTACCAGTGCTGTTACTTTTTAGATTCCATCTCCCCCCCCTCCCCGCTGATAACTGGGACTTGAACTCAGGGCCTAAGGGTTAGCACTTTAGCTCAAGACTAGCCCTTTTCCACTTGAGCCACAGCTCTGTTTCCAACTTTTTGGTGGCTAATTAGAGATAAGAGTATCTTGAAGTTATCTTCCCAAGCTGACTTTGAGCCTTGATCTTCAGATCTCAGCCTTCTGAGTAGCTAGGATTACATGTGTGTCACTGGTGTCTGGCTTTAGATTCCAACCTTATCTTCACACCACTGCTCCACTACACTCAGGGATAGGCCATATTTCTAATTCTTTTTTTTTTTTTTTTGTGAGTCTGGTCGTGGGGCCTGAACTTTGGGCCTGGGCGCTGTCCCTCAGCTCTTCAGCTCAAGGCTAGTACTCTACCACTTGAGCCACAGCGCCACTTCCAGCTTTTTTTTTTTTTTTTTTGCTTATGTGGTGCTGAGGAATCGAACCCAGGTCCTCATGCATGCAAGGCAAGCGCTCTCCCACTGAGCCACCTTCCCAGCCCAATATTTCTAATTCTTAACAATTACTGTTTTTAATTTGTAATTAGTGGACTGTATTGTATTAATTTCCTTTTTCGGGACTTCCAGCTACTACTCAGCTTTTTCTTCTTTATCTTTTGTTTTTTCACAATGTCTTCTATTTCCTTTTTCTTCTTTTTTTTTGTTGCTCATGGGGCTTGAACTCAGGGCCTGGGCACTATCCCTGAGCTCTTTGGCTCAAGGTTAGTGTGCTACCACTTTGAGCCACAGCACTACTTCTGGTTTTTTGATAGTTAATTGGAAATAAGACTCTCTTGAACTTTGCTGCCCCAGCTGGCTTCAAACCAAGATTCTGAGATCTCAGCCTCCTGAGGAGCTAGGAGTACGAGTGTGAGTCACCAGCTTTCCAGTTTTCTATTTTTTTAGACAGTACATCCCTAAGAATCTGAAAGCCCTCCCCCCCTGAAAGTTAAATATTAGATTTACATGTTAGAAGTTATTTCTATTCCCAGAGAGAAAAAAAAAATAGTTTTTTTTTTTTTTTTTTCCTTTTTGTCAGTCCTGGGGCTTGAATTCAGGGCCTGGGCATTGTCCTGAGCTTTTGCTCAAGGATACCACTCCTACCACTTGCCACAGTGCCACCTCTGGCCTTTTCTGTTTATGTGGTAGAAAGGAATTGAACCCAGGGCTTCATGCATGCTAGGCAAGCACTCTACCACTAAACCACATTCCCAGTCCAATTTTTAGGTTTCTGATTACAGGTTCTGGAAGTACCTCAAGTTATATATCAGAAATTGTCCATTCTCACAGTCTCCTTCCTTCCTTCCTTCCTTCCTTCCTTCCTTCCTTCCTTCCTTCCTTCCTTCCTTCCTTCCTTCCTTCCTTCCTTTTTTTCTTTTTCTTTCTTTTTTTTTTGTGCCAGTCCTGGGGCTTGATCTCAGGGCCTGGGCACTGTCCCTAAGCTTTTGTGCTCAAAGCTGGCTCTGTACCACTTGAGCCACAACTCCACTTCTGGCTTTTTGGTGTTAATAAAGAGTCTCATGGACTTTCCTGCTTGGCTGGCTTCAAATGTTGATCCTCAGCTCTCAGCCTCCCAAATAGCTAGGATTACAGATGCAAGCCACTGACACCCAGCCCATTTTAAAAACAGTATGCAAGCAGGTGTTAAGGGGCCTGGATTCACTTAGACAAAAGTCTCCATTTGTTAGTCCTACTTTTTGTAGCCCTGTCCCCTGCTTCCTACAGGAGCCAAGGCCTGGGTAGTTGGGAGTAAAGCCTAAGGAGGATACAGTGGCAACAATCTCCAAGCCTCTGGGCCAAGGCTGGATAAACATATCCCATACCCAAATACCCATTTATAAATAACTTTTTTTTTAGGGGAAGTAGTGTTATTTGAACTCAGGGTTTCATGCTTGCTAACAGGCACTCCACCCCTGAGCTACTCCATCAGTCCTATAGCATTTGTTATTTTCCAAATAGGGTCTCACTGTTTACTCCTGGGCTGCTTCCTTTCCTCAGTGCATGATGGCATGTGAGCTACTGTACCATTGTGCTTCCCTTGCATTTTAGGATGACAGATGTATCAACTATGCCTAGGCATTGACTGGATTGCAGTTGTGAACTTTTATGCCCAGGCTGGCCTGGAACTGTGATTTTCCCCGATCTTTGCTTCCCTAGTAGCTAGGACTACAACTTGAGCCACCACCATACCCAGCTCACAAATATTTTCTGCTATCAAATAATGGTGGTGAGCAGACCACTTTGTTTTAAAATTTTCATTTGTCATGAAAGCCAAATACTTTTTTTGTAAGACAGCCAGGATCCTATATTTTCTGTCATCTTTTTCCTTACCTCTTGCTTAGTCTTCAACCCATTATAACCTTCTACTCTGAACTTCCCTGGTAAAGATTATCACTAAATTGCAGAATCACGGTGCTGCTGTTCAGTCTTTATCTTAATCTTCCTCTGGGCAAACCTCTTTTTTTTTTTTTTTTTGGGTCTGGTTGTGGGGTCTGAACTCTGGGCCTGGGCGCTGACCCTCAGCTCTTCTGCTCAAGGCTAGCAGTCTACCACTTGAACCACTTTCGGCTTTTTTTTTTTTTGGTTCGGTCGTGGGGCCTGAACTCTGGGCATGGGTGCTGTCCCTCAGCTCTTCAGCTCAAGGCTGGCGCTCTACCACTTGAGCCACAGCGCCACTTCCGGCTTTTTTCTTTTTTCTTATGTGGTGCTGAGGAATTGGACCCAGGGCCTCATGCATGCAAGGCAAGCGCTCTACCACTGAGCCACCTTCCCAGCCCTCCCTTGTGGTTTTCTGGTGGTTAATTGGAGATTAGTGTCTCTTGGACTTTCCTGCCTCGGCTGGCTTTGAACTGTGATCCTCAGATCTCAGCCTCCTGAGTAGCTAGGATTATAGGCATGTGCCACCGGCACCTGGCTTTTTTTTTTCTTTTTTTAAGTTTATCTTTGCAATACTGGGGATGGGGGATGAAGGTTGAACTCAGGGCCTTGTGATTGCTAGCAGGCACTCCACTGCTTGAGTTATGCCCCCAACTTTTAGCTTGGTTTCAGATAGGGATCAGTGACTTGAATCTTCTATCTCTGCATCACTAACACCAGGGATTATGGGAATGTACGGCTACACTCAGCCCTCCATAGGCTTATTTTTCTTTTTTGTCTTTTTGTTGGTGCAATATAGGGACTTGAACTCAGACCTGGATGCTGTACCTTAGCTTTTTCTGCTTGAGGCTGGCAACTCTACCACTTGAGCCACAGCTCCACTTCTAGCTTTTTACTAGTTAATTAGAGATAAGAGTCTCATGTACTTTCCTGCCCAGGCTGTCTTCAAACCAAGATCCTGAGATCTCAGCCTCCAGAGTAGCTAGGATTACAGACAAGAGCCTTGGGCACCAATCAGACCGGTGGTAGCAGATAGATACAGAGGTCCACTTCCTAAAGTTGCAACCATCCAGGGATTCTCATCACGTCCTGTTAGGCTTTCCCTTAGCTTCTCCGATCTAGGACAATCTAGAGGGATGTGCAGGAAGGTCCTAGGGAGCCTGATCCACTAATTTTGCATCTGCAATTAGTGCTACTTTACCCCCATTGAAGAGAGGCGCTCTTCGTTTTAGGGTTTATTTCCTCCAGTTCGGACCAGGCGGGATAGTAGAGTGGGTCAAGTGTGAGAGTCACGTCAGAAGAGCAGAGCTCCAAAAGGTATCAAGAATGGCTGAGCCGGGGTGCAGCGCCCCTTGGCCAAGCTTGGGCTTCCCTTGGCCCCGCCCCCTTCGCTAAGCCCGACCCACTTTGGGGCGGGACCTCCCGCTCCAACCAATTCTAGGAGCCGAACCCTGGCGGTTTGTACTCTTTCTTTCCAATGAGAAAAAAAGGAAGCAGCTTGGCTCCAATGGCCAATGGGAGGAGGCGGCGCCCGGTTGTCAGGCAGGTTTGTAAGAGTTCGGGCCAATCGGAGACGCAGCCACCGCTCGACCCGGGCGCAGCGCGCAGGCGGTGGCGGAGAGACGCCGAGCGGGCCGAGTGCGGCCGAGCAAAGCCGGAGCCGGAGCCGGAGCCGGAGCGGGGCCTCAGGAGCGGGGCCGGGTCCGGACGGGCCGAGATGCCCTATAAACTGAAGAAGGAGAAGGTGAGCGTGGCCTTTTCCCCCCTCCGCGCCTCCGCCTTGGGGCCTGCGTGGAGCTCTGGGAGGGGCCCGAACCAGGCCCGGGACAGCCCCGGACTGACCCTCCCGTCCGGCCCCCTGCGGGACTCCCGGGGCCGGCCCTCCGCCCTCGCGGCCGGCCGGACCCCGTCGTCCGCGCCACGGCTGGGACAGCTTCCTCTCCTTGCCCCCACGTCCACCTTTCTCCCTTCCTCCGCCTCCTACCCCCGGCCCCGATAACTCCCCTCCTCCCTCCAGATCAGCCCCCCTCAGGTCACTCCCCTGCTTTTCCTCCTCGCCTCCCTCTCTCCCCGGTCCCCCCGCTGACTCGGGACAGCCCTGATCTGAGACTGCACCTCCTTCCCGAACTGCTCCTCCACCCCCGCCCTGCGCAGCCCCCTTCCCTCCTTTTCTAACCGGCCTAGGATGGCCTCCCCGGTTCCTCCGGCCCCTTCTCAACGCCAAGCCCCCTTGCTCTAGAATAGCGCCGCTTTCTCTCCTCCACCCAAATCTGGCCTAGGCCCCTCCCTCTAGTTCTTCCTTCACATACAAACTTGTAAGCCAGGACTGAGCCCTTCCTTCTGTGGATGGAACCCCAGAACGATCATCAGTGCTGGAAAGGAAAGTCCCTGGTGGTACAGATGAGGAGACTGAGGCTCCGACCAGGGGGAGGGAGTTGTCCAAGGTCACGTATCCTGCTGGAGGCCCAGCTGCAATATCAAGTCTCCTGACTTTAGGGCTCTCCTGTGCCAGTACTCTCCTAACTGGTATCAGCTGCCCCCTAACCGCCCCCCCCCCCCCAGGTTCATCCTGGACCAGACCCTCTTTCCTAGTCTGAGTAAGCTCCTTCCCTTAGGCCCACACTTCGCATAACCTTTGCATTTTTCCTTTGCACCAGTGTTGGATTTCTCCCTTTCCTGGGCCAGCAATAACCTCAAACGGGGTTATCCATCCTGTCTGAATAGTTTTCTTCCTACTTGCAGACCAGCCAACCTTGGACATCTATGCTTCTGACCCAAGCTATTTCTTGATTATTGTAATTTGCAGTGCAGGGGATTGCATCCAGAGCCTTGCATAGGCTAAGCATGTGCTCTACCACTGAGCCATCCTTCTGGCTCCATTGGGCATTTTCTTGATGTTGCTTTCCTTCACCTTCCTCTTCTACCTCCATACCGCCTTCACCTGTTCCTCATCCTTGCCTTTTTCTACCCTTTTGTTTCCTGCTGTTGCTGATGTCTGACTCAGAGGTGTGGTTCCTTTGAGGTACAGATTTACACAGAGGATGCTAGGATACCAGCTCCAGCCTCCTCCAGCTTCTCCTTTCCTAGGGATGGCCCCTTGAGGTTGGGGCTGGCTCTGGCCTAGTATTTGGCCACCCCCCTGATGACTCCAGGGGCATACTGCTTCCATTTGCCCTCTGTTTGATTGAGTTGCTGGGTTGCCATCTCTCACCATCTCAGTCAAATGATCCTGAGGCTGTTGAGTATTTATCAGACAGTTCTGACTCTAGGTTGTTCCCTAACCTCTCAGGGCCTGAGATTCTAAGCATAGAGTTGGTGATGGTATGCTTAGGCACCGGACCCCTGAGGTAGTGAGCTGAACAGGGTTGTACACCCCAGCTAGGCCCTGTCCTGGAGTGGGCAGATTAGCTGTAGGCAGTATACACACAAGACAGCTACACTGAGAGCTGGGAGGCTTGGGATTTCTGGGAAGTGGTGGGGTTACCATCCATCTGTAGTTTGTATTGCATCTGATGGACCAGAGACCGTCCCATCTGCAGAAAGCTTTTGCTTCCCAGATGCCGTGAAGCAAAGAAATTCTTAGACTTGCTAGGATTGTGGTGTATTCAGTTGAGAAAGGGTTTTCGAAGGATTGGGGTACATAGAAGGCAGACAGACATAACTGTGATTCTCCCCTGTGAGATTAACTTCTTACATTTGGTTTTTGACTGCATATGGCCTCTTTCAATGGCTGGCAAGTTGTGAGGGGGAGAGAGATGACAGTGTAACTGAGGTTTGCCTGAATGGGATGGCGGCACAGAGCAGGGTGTGTAGGTGGAGGCTCTTTATTGCTCATCCATCACCTGTCCCCCTTTCTCCTTCATCTCTGCTGGTCCTAGTCCTTGCTATCCTTTGGTGCATCTTCCTGAAGCCTTCCCTAAGCTCTCAGTCAGTACTGAGCTGTCTCTCCTCCCTGGTTCTGCAGAAAATACTTGCTAGACCACTTAGGGCACTTTTCTGTTGAGCCTCGGATGAGAAATGATTGTGGAAAAGTCCTGTCTTTCCCCTTTGAGATAATAACCATGCTCTCCTCCAAGCTCTCCTTTGCACACAGTAGGTGCTTAGTGAATCAAACTTTTTTGCATCTCTTCCCTTCTCGTCTGTTCTCATCTGGACCTATATCTCTTATGCTCCTGGGTAATGCCCCTCTGCTCCTTGCCACCTTCTTCTTATTTATAATAATAGTAGAATATTAGGATTTGCATGTACCAGACACAGAACTACAGGGAATAGGTACTGTGATTGTTAGTGTTTAATAGATGGGGAAATTGAAGCTCATAAAAGTCAGTTAAGCTGGGTGGCTTATACCTGCAAATCCTAGCTACTGTTCGGGAGGCTGAGATCTGAGGATCTCCATTTGAAGTCAGCTTGAGCATGGAAGTCTATGAGGCTCTTATCTTCAGTTAACTACCCCAAAGCCAGAAGTTAAACTGTAGCTTAAGTAGTAGAGTGCCAGATTTGATCAAAAAGCTCAGGGACAGCACTTAGGTCCTGAGTTCAAGACCTAGGACCAGCACACCCACACACAAAGGAAATAAGAGTTGAGCCCCACAGTGCTGGCCCCCAACCTGTTCCTAACCACCAATGTCATGAGCCCTTGATAGCTGGATTGGGCACTTCCCCTGTTCTGCAGGAGCTGGGGAGCAAGGCGTGGGCCCTGCCTTCCCATGCCCACTCACACCCACACACCAAGGCAGGCGAGTCTCTCAGACATTCCCTGAGAAGTATGTCTCAGGCATCCTGCTGAGCGCCACAGGGTGGGTGGAGGGTTACAAAAAGAATAAGTAGTTTATGATCAAGTGCACAGACCAGACTTGTATGAAGATGGGTCGGCTGTGTCTGGTGTGTGCAGACAGATCCCCTCACTGGTGTGTCCCTCTCATTCCCCCCACCCTCAATTCACCCCTTATCTGTTTTTCTTCACCCTGTGAGCTACTGACAGGGCTTTGTGGCCAGTCTGGTCAGAAGGCAGAGGGACAGTGCTCAGCCAAAGAAGAAACTCTTCTTTGCATGAGGCTCCTCTGAACCCAGGAAAGGCGTTTTCCCTCCCCACCCCCAAGAAGCTTTCCCCTATTCCAGCCCACACAACTTTCTTCTCCCTGAAATCCTTTTGCCCCCACAGTCACAATCACTTGATTTAACACTTCTTGCTGAAGGGGCTTGGCTGCTATTGAATTGCTGACTCTAGGAGCTGGAAGTGATTTCCAAGATCAGCCAATCCAGTTCTCATTTAAGGCTTGAATCCTTTTGCAACATGCCTTAGTGGACGTCACCCAGCCTTTGCTTGAATGCTCAGGGCTGGGAGCTTTCAGCTTCACTAGGCAGCCAGTTTCCGTGCAACTGGTCCGTGAGAAAATTCGTCCTTGTTTGGAGCCTCAGCCCGTCCTCTCTATACTTCAGCCCACTGTTCTTGTGCCCCTGATTCTGCACGGACAAGTTGCATCTTTAGTCCACATGACAGCCCTTCAGTTGCTGGTTAAGATCCATCTCCTTCCCAACGCTCCCCCCCCAGAGCTCCTCCCTTCCATTGTTAACTATCCCAGTTCCTGCAGCTGTTGCGCTTTTGAATTCACTGCCAGTATGGGTTGCATTTCCCCTTGAGAAAAGCTAAGGATTTCTCAGCTCAGCATGGTGGGGCATGCCTGTAATCCCCGCCAGCCTGTGTAGCTATGCAGAGGCAGGATAATTATGAGTGTAAGGGTAGTCAAGCCTGGTGCTAGTGGCTTAGGCCTGTAATTCTAACTACTCAGAGACAGAGTTGAGGATTGGAGTTCAAAGCCACTCCATGCAAGAAAGTCCAGAAGGCTCTTACCTCCAGTTAACTGGGGGAGGGAGGTGAAAGCTAGAGCTGGGCGCTGGTGGCTCACGCCTGTAATCTAGCTACTCAGGAGGCTGAGATCTGAAGATCACGATTCAAAGCTAGCCTGGGCAGGAAAGTCCATGAGACTCTTTTATCTCCAATTAACCAGTAGAAACTGGAAGTGGCTGTGGCTCAAGTGGTAGAGCGCTAGCCTTGAGCTGAAGAGCTGAGGGACAGCGCCTAGGCTGAGAGTTCAAGCCCCACGACTGACAAAAAAAAGCCAGAAGTGGAACTGTGTTTTGAGTGGTAGAGTGCTGGCCTTGAGCAAAAAAGCTCAGCAACAGTGTGTAGGCCCTGAGTTCAAGCCCCAGGATCAACATGAAAAGAAAGAAAAAGAACAAAAAAATGTAGTCAGGATGATTACTTATAGTGAGTTCCAGGCTTGTCTCAGCTACATGGTGGAGGTGGGGGTGGGAAAAGGAAAACTGGGATTTCTCATAGCTTCTCCCATAGCCTGCTGCTGACTGAGTCGGGTCCTCCAGGCCCTTTTGGTGCTACCAAGTCCGCACAGGTCTGTTAAACTTATGAAAGTCACCTGACGATTTGTGTTGAGCTTGCAGTCAGAGTTGCATCCCCAAAGTTGTTTTTACATTTTACATTTTCCCCATCCTGTCCCTGTACAGTTGCTTTTGTTTTGGCCCAAAGCATAGGAAGAGATGCTGGGCAGGCCAGGGCTCTGAGCCAGCTGCCAGGTTCCCAAGGGAAATTTCAGACTAGTGTTCACACTTCCCTAACAATTCAGGGCTTTACCTTCATCCTTGTTCCTGTGCTGGTTGACTGAGTTGCTCTTGGCATTTGAGGTGAGACTTTTCCTAGATCTATTAGTATCCCCTCGTAATTCTTGTCTTGATTTTTTTCTGTGTTGGAAAGCTCTGAGGGGTGGAGAGCTGGCAGTGTGGCCAGGGTTTTCATCTCCTTGTCTGGGTACTACTTGTGGCATCCTCAGATACTTCCTGGTCTTCTAGGTGGTCCAGCAGGGGAAAATGGGAGAGGGCTTCTTTATCCTAAAGCCTGTTATTTGTCTCCCAGTGTTTTCCCCTTAAGCTTCCTCTCCTTGATTCTGACCTGACCAAGAGCTCTCACAGGCCTGACACAGGCACCAGCGTGGGGAGGTGACAGATGAAAGAGCATACTCACATGTTAGGGATGACTTGTCTGTGTGTCCCCCCCGCCTCCCCGGCCCCCATACATACCAGGAATGGACACGTGGATTCATTGGTTGATTCAGTTAGACATAGTTGCAACAAAGACCTGAGGAGTCTAGACAAGTCTCCACTAACCCAAACTCCCTCTTCTCCCTGCAGGAGCCCCCTAAGCTTGCCAAAGGCACTGCGAAGCCCAGCAGCTCAGGCAAGGATGGTGGAGGCGAGAACTCTGAGGAGGTAATAAATGTGGATGGCTCTGGTTGTGGTACAGGTGTCAGCTCCCGCTCCTTGATGGCCTGTGGGCCAGAGTTATCGATTATCAGAAGGGAAGGAGACTTCCCCAGCCAGGGAGGAACCTGGAGGGCCCCTGTGGCTGCCCTCCGCAGGGCTCCCTTTGTCTGGTACGTGCCAAATAGGCTCTCTGATTTCTTTTTTTGTTTTTTGTTTTTTTGAGGTCCAGTCGTGGGGCCTGAACTCTGGGCCTGGGTGCTGTCCCTCAGCTCTTCAGCTCAAGACTAGCACTCTACCACTTGAGTCACAGCGCCACTTCTGGTTTTTTTCTTTTTGGCTTATGTGGTGCTGAGGAATCGAATCCACAGCCTCATGCATGTAAGGCAAGTGCTCTACCACTGAGCCACCTTCCCAGCCCTCTCTGATTTTTTTTTTCAAACTCTTAGATGCCTGTGAAAATTATTTTTCTGTCATTTTTGAGTGTTTAAGAATTCCTTTTCCAGGAATTAGAAGCTTGGCTCGAGCGGTAGAGTGAGAGTTCTAATCAAAAAGAGAGTTCCTTTTTTTTAGTGGTTGGAGTGTGGCTCTTTGGTAGAGCACCTGCTTAGCATGCTTAAGGCCTTGAGTTCAATTAGAAGTGCATATAATAAAGGAATTCCTTTTTCTTTGGCCAAAACTCTGGCCAAAGGGTATCTGGTGTGTGGTATACACCTGACTACATATAAGAGGCTCAGGCAGGAGGATCTCGAGTTTGAGTCTAGGCAAGACTATATAGACCCTGACTCAAAAAAAACAAACCAGGGGCAGGGAATGTGGTTGAGTGCTTGCCCAGCACTCAGCACCACATAAACAGAAAAAGCTGGAAAGTGGTGCTGTGGCTCAAGGGGTAGAGCACTAGCCTTGAGCTGAAGAACTCAGGAACAGTGCCCAGGTCCAGAATTCAAGCTCCACAACTGACCAAAACACACACACACACACACACACACACACACACACACACACACACACACACACACACACACACACACACACACACACACACACACACACACACACACACACACACACACACACACACACACACACACACACACACACACACAGCTGGGCACTGGTGGCTGGTGCCTATAATCTTAGCTGAGATCTGAAGATTGTGGTTTGAAGCCAGCCTGGGCAGAAAATTCCATAAGACTCTTATCTCCAGGAAATTAGTCAGAAGAAGCTAAAAGTGGAGCTATGGCTCAAATGGTAGAGTACTAGCTTTGAGCAAAAGAAGCTTAGGGACAGCAACCAGGCTCTGAGTTCAAGCCCCATGGCAAGCACAAAAACAAAACAAAACAAACCAACAAAAGGCTAGGTGATCCTGGGTCCCCGGCAGAGGGAAAAGTCCATAAGTGCTGGATGGTGTGCTGAGTAACATGTCCTAGTTCAGAGTGGGTGGGGTTTGGGAGTGCCGGGTGTCCCTGAGTTGGACAGGGCTGGGCCCACTACTCTTGGTCTCAGCCGAAAGAGAGCATGAGTGAAGGCCAGTTATGACCAGAGGTTAGCACAGCTCAGCAGTCTAGGTCTATAAAGCAATAAATGGCAAGTGAGGGAGCCACAGAGAGTGGAAGGGCTTAAGGAAGTCCAGGTATGCCCATGAACATCTGAGGAGGACTCGGGTTGGACGTGTGGACCCTGCAGCTGTCCTGCGTGCTAATGGCACTCTCCCTACTTTTGTCTAGAGCAACAGAGGGGGACAGGAAACAGGCCTTCATTAGCTATGGGAGGTCTTGTATTTTCTTGAGAGGAGACTGATGGGCAAGTGTTTAGATGTCTCTGGCTACTTCTGGCACCTATCACTTTTCACTCTGGGTTTTAGGCCTCCGAAGAGTTGGGGACCACAGAAATTGCTCTTTCCTGTGCCCTTCCCCAGTAATCTGAACTTGTGTCTGGACTGTCCTTATCTCTCTACACTGTAACCATTTGTTCCCTTCTAGGCCTCTCCTTTAGGCTGTGAACTCAGGGTGAGAGCTGAGGGTTATCCCTCAGGCTTCACAGTAAATGCTTCTAGGACACACTTTCAGGGCTCAATCTCCCCTGTAGGACTGATGGCATCGGCCTCTCACAGGGAAGGTAGTTGGGAGCTAGTGACTGATATTTAAGCCAGCAAGAGAGACTTAGAGCCAGGATGTAATGGCAGAGAAAAGATTTATTTAGGAGGCTATTCCAACCTTTACCTAACTAACTCGTCCTCTGGTACATTGGATGTCATTCCTTGCCCATCCACCTCTATCCCAAGACATGGTCAGGGGTTGTGGGCTGTTCTTTTATTTTTATTTTGGTGGTGTAAGACTTGAACTTAGACCGGGTACCAGTGGCTGTGGCTCAGGCCTATAATCCTAAGTACTCAGGAGGCTGAGGTCTGAGGGTTGTGGTTCAAACACAGCCCAGGAAGGAAAGGCTGTGAGACTCTTTTATCGCCAGTTAACCACCAAAAAAGCCAGAAATGTTGCTGTGGCTGAAGTGGTAGAGTGCCAGCCTTAAGTGAAAAAGCTCAAGGACAGTGCCCAGGTCCTCAGTTTCAAGCCTTAGGACCATCACCAAAAAAAAAAAAAAAGAGGGGGGGGTGGCGTGCTGGGAAGGTGGCTCAGTGGTAGAGTGCTTGCCTACATGCATGAGGCCTTGGGTTTGATTCCTCAGCACCACATAAGCAGAAAAAGTAGGAAGTAGCGCTGTGGCTCAAGTGGTAGAGCGCTAGCCTTGAGCTGAAGAGCTGAGGGACAGCGCCCAGGCCCAGAGTTCAGGCCCCACGACTGCCAAAAAAAAAAAAAAAGCTGAGACCAGTAGATTTCTCCACTGCCTTTTGAACAGTTCTGCTCAGTAGTCTTTTTTAAGCCTTTTAGAAGAGGAAGGCTTAAGTCTTATCTTGAGCTGTGTTTTGTGAAATGCTGCCCAGAGCTCATCTGTATGGGGCAGCTACAAGAATTTGCCATGATATTCCAGAAAAGATATCTCCCTGCATAGATGCTGGCGAAGTTGGAGACCAGATGTGAAGCTGTTCTCTCTTTCTTTTTCTTTTTTTTTTTGCCAGTCCTGGGGCTTAAACTCTTGGCCTGGGCACTGTCCTTGAGCTTCTTTTGCTCAAGGCTAGCACTCTACCACTTGCACAGTGCCACTTCTGGCCTTGTTTGTGTACATGGTACTGAGGAATTGAACCCAGGGCTTCATGCATGATAGGCAAGCACGCTACCACTAAGCCACATTCCCAGCCCTAATATATCTTTTTTACTGAACAATTATTTCGTGCTAGTTTCCAGAGGCAGCCATCATAAGTTACCACAACCTAGATGGCTTAAAACAATAGGAGCCAGGTACTAGTGGCTCACACCTGTAATCCTAGCTACTCAGGAAACTGAGATCTGAGGATCACAGTTTGAAGCCAGCCAGGGAAGGAAACTGTGAGACTCTTATCTCCAATAAACTACTCAGAAAAGGCCAGAACTGGTACTGTGGCTCAAGTCATAGAGCACTAACCTTGAGCACAAAGAGACTCAGGGACAGTGCTCAGGCTCTGAGTTCAAGCCCTGGGATTGGCAAAACAAACAAACAAAAATAACAACAAAAGAATAATAGAAATTTCTGCTCCAAATTTATGTTTAAAGTAAGGAGTATGAAGGCAAGGTCCACCAGGCCATGTCCTTCCGGAGTGCTAGAGAACTTGTTCCACACTTCTATCCAAGCTTCTGGGGCTTTCAGTAATCCTTTGCACTCCTTGGCTTATAGATGCATTGTTTTCAGTGTCTGCCTCCATCTTCATACTACATTCTCCTCTGTGTGTGTCTCTCTCTGTCCAAATTTCCCTCTTAATAGGACATCAGTGATTAAGGACACCCTAATCCAGTTTGACCTCATTTTCACTTGATTATATCAGCAAAGACCCTGTTTCCAAGTAAGGTCACATTTACAGATTCTAGGTGATCATGAATTTGGGGGGACACTGTTGAACTCAGTATACTATGCACCAGGGACTGCTTGTATTAAGTAATTTGCCCCACCTAAGGTTCTGATATTATCACCTCCACTTCACAGGTGAACCTGAGGGCTAGAGATGTTAGATGGCTTTTACTTGGGGAGTAAATGACAGAGCGGGGATTCATCCTGGGCTGTGGCTCTGCAGCCAATTCTCTATGGGCTTAATAAGTGATGTGCTGGCTCTAAAATTCTAGAAGAGAATCCTAGAATGGAAAAGAGTCTCAGGAGATCTGGCAGGACTCACTGTGACCTTCTAGGGTCTTTCCTGGTCTGTCTTTAGAGAGAAATCCATGCCATGGAATCTGGTGCATGCTGTGCTGTCCTGGGTTTTGGGTACAGAGACAGAGGGAGGAAGAAATGATTTCCCACTTCCCCACTCACCTCTTTAGGGACATCTTCCTTAATTCTTGCAGGCAGAATTTGTAGTTCAGCCGTCTGTCTTCCCATAGCCTTTGTGGCTCTTTCTGTTCTATTTCCCTTGTACCATTAGCTGCTTTTGCGGCTATCCCACCTATCCTGTGAGCTTTTTGAAGGCAAGGGCCATGTCCTAGTGACCTTTTCATCTTTGATGCTTAGCATGGTGTTTAGTGAATAGGGAAGGAAGAAAAGAATCAGCTGGGGGGTCTAGCTCAGAGGAATCGTGCTTGTCTAACATATGCAAGGCCCTGCATTCCATCCCTAGCACTGAAAGAAGAAAAGAATTCAACCTGGCCAAATAGAGCTCTAGATGTCACCTGGGAGAGAATGCCTCTGTGGTTTTGGAGGTTTTAAACTACATTATCTTCATTTGTTAGGCCAGTTAATTCACTATATAAAAGATGCAACATTTAACCTATGCATTTTGAATTTTATTTGAGATGGGAGTTTCACTGTGTAGTGCACGCCGCCTCTTACCTCATGATCCTCCTGCCTTAGCCTTCCACGTGGCAGGGATTACAGGCATGTACCACTTTGCTCAGCTTCTATTTCTGTGCATTTTGTGTTTCATTTTTCTCTTACAATACTTCAGTGCTTAAATTATATTCCAGTTTTTTTATATTTAATTATCTAGGTTTAGTGTACTAATGGTGGCTGTGTCAGGATTAGGTTAGAGGAGGATTTGTTCAGAGAAAGGAGGTTAGTTGGAATCAGCTGAGTAGAACCATGGTCTATAAATTCAGGGCACCACTCAATTGCTGGAGGCTTGAATTTAAGAAGGTTTCCTGGAGTACAGATCCTGATGTGAGTTTGGAAACAAAAGAGAAAGTAATTTGGGCCTCTATAGAGTCTCAGGAAGATTACACTGGACCCAAGTAGAGAGTAGAAGTCAGACCTGGCTTTGGCCATTGGTCAGTCACGCCTCCTCCCACCCACGGAACCAGCAAAGTACAGAGGAAGCGAGAGGCTGAAGAGTTTAGGAGAAATGCTTGGACATGAAGTGTGGCTGACAGATCCCCACACTTACCTGACGAGCATGCTTCCTAGTGAGGGGCGGGCACACAGAGGGCACCTCATTGGGCCTCAGCATCAGGGGCTCTGCCAGCTAACATGAGAGCCCAGGTCCTTGTCATACTGGGGTGGCCTCATGTATAAGGCTGGGCAGACTAAGACTGCTCAGAAGCTTTCTAGCCTCTCCAGCCTTCAGTAACAATCCTCCTGTAGAAGAAACTTTAGGCATTAGCTCATTGGCTTTTTGGGCATTATAATTTGTTTTCTTTTTTCTTTTTTTTGGGTCCGGTCATGGGGCTTGAACTCTGGGCCTGGGTGCTGTCCCTCAGCTCTTCACCTCAAGGCTCTACCACTTGAGCCACAGTGCCACTTCCGGCTTTTTTTTTCTGCTTATGTGGTGCTGAGGAATCAAACCCAGGGCCTCATACATGCAAGGTAGGCAAGGGCTCTACCACTGAGCCACCTTCCCAGCCCTCTTTTTTTTTTTTGTTGTTGGTCTTGGGGCTTGAACTCTGGGCTTGGGTGCTGTCTCTGAGCTCTTCAGCTCAAGGTGAGTGCTCTACCACTTGAGCCACAGCACCACTTCCAGTTTTCCAGTGGTTTATTGGAGATAAGAGTCTCATAGATTTTCCTGCCTGGGCTGGCTTTGAACCTTGATCCTCAGATCTCAGCCTCCTGAGTAGCTAGGATTACAGGCGTGAGCCACCGGCGCCCGGCTTCTTCTTTTTTTTTTTTAAATCCATACAAGCCTGTTCTCTTGAAACCTTACTAGGAGAGTTGTTGGGAAATGACTGATCTAGTCAAACACTATCTATTTTTAAAATTTATTTTTGGCCCATGCTGGGGCTTGAACTCAGGGCCTGGGCCTCTGTTCCTGAGCCTATCTGTGTTCAAGGCTAGTGCTCTATCACTTGAGCCACAGCGCCACTTCTGGCTTTTTCTGTTTATGTGGTGCTGAGGAATTGAACCCAGGGCTTCCTGCATGTTAGACAAGCACTTACCACTAAGCCACATTCCCAGCCCTAGACGTCTGGCTTTTTCTGTTTATGTGGTGCTGAGGAATCAAACTCGGCTTCATGCATGCTAGGCATCATTCTGCCACTAAGCCATATTCCCAGCCCCATCTCCGTGTGTGTGTGTGTGTGTGTGTGTGTGTGTGTGTGTGTGTGTGTGTGTGTGTGTGTGTGTGTGTGTGTGTGTGTGTGTGTGTGTGTGTGTGTGTGTGTGTGTGTGTGTCCGTCCTCATGCCTGGTTCCACAGCTTTTTGTTCATTGGAGATAAGTGTCTCATGGATTTTCCTGCTTGGGCTGGCTTCTAACTATGATCATCAGATCTCAGCCTCCTGAGTAGCTAGGATTACAGGCATAAGCCACTGGCCCCCAGCAAATACCCTCCTTGTTAGCAGAGAAAAATGAGGCCCTGCTTCTCTGAAAGACGCCTCCTTTCTTTCAACATTCCTCAGTATGAAAGTCATGGAGGTGTGGTGTCTCAGACTGACACTGCGTCCCTTACCCTAGAATCTCTAACATTTTTCCTCCTCCCTCTGCTGCTGGCGCTGCACAGCCAGTGCCCTCTCCTAAGGACAGGAGAGGAAGGGATTGTGGGGCAGAGCTTAGACAGAAACTGGTAGCCTTGACTCTTAGTCAGCCTCCCATTTATCGGAAGCCTGTTGGTACCAGTGCTAGGAGTCAAACCAGGGTCCTTGTTTTCAAAGAACTTGTCTAGAGGGGATGACACATATGGACTGAGCTAGAGGTATCAGTAACTAGAGTAGCTAGAGTGATCAGATCAATAGAATAGACGTAGTTACAGAAGGTTGAGGGGTGGCACCCAAGGGTCAGAATGAACTAAGAAAGGTTCTGGGAAGAAGGCAGGACCTGGCTCCTGAAAGATGCAATGGTTTCCTGGTGTCTTTATGTTCAAACAATGGGAATAATGGACTGGAAAGATCATTTGAAGTGTGCTAGCACAGGAAGGAATCTCCAGGTGCATGCACTCCTAAAATACAAGTGTGGAAATAAAGATGGTATCAGTAGTAGCTGCAGCAGCAGACTGCTATCCCTACTTGTTATATTTTTCTATGTGCCGTGTATATTTGTTTCAGTTCCTATTATGGCTCTATAAGGTAGGAACTATTGTCATTGCTATTTTACAGGTGAGGAGACGAGGAGAACTCCTCTAGCTCGGCTAGTAATTTGCAGTGTCGAAGCCACGTAGTCTGGCCCCAGTGTGTCCTTGAGCACTAAGCTTCACAGACAGGATTTGGTTGTTCCTAAGGCAGGGAAATGGAGGCCCGAGGCAGAGGAGATGTTTGCCAAGGCCCTTCTACCTTCTTTCTACCTTTCTCTCCGCTGTTCCTAAGGTTTGACTCCTCTACCATTTATACAAAGGAAGACCCACAGGGGACCTCGTATTGTCCAAGTAAACTGACACTGGCTGAATACGGGTCACAACATGAGACGTGTGTGATGCTTGCTCCTGGAAGAAGCCTTCCTTGTGTTCCCTGTCAAGCCAGTGTCTGGGACTGTTATTTTAGAAGGAGGAGCGTGAGATGGCCCAGGGGTAATGAGCTGGACCCTTGGGCCTACCTGGGGCCTGGCCCATTGTTCTTCCATTCTTTTTTTTTTTTTCTTTTGGGTCCAGTCTTGTGGCCTGAACTCTGGGCCTGGGTGCTGTCCCTCAGCTCTTCAGCTCAAGGCTAGCGGTCTACCACCTGAGCCACAATGCCACTTCCAGCTTTTTTCTTTGTGCTTATGTGGTGCTGAGGAATCGAACCCAGGGCCTCATGCATGCAAGGCAAGCGCTCTACCACTGAGCCACCTTCCTAGCCCTGTGTTCTTCCATTCTTTCATTCCCCAGAGAAGTCACAAACTCTGTAGAATTTTATGAAATACATGGAATATACAAAGGTTAACATTTTTTACACCTCTCTCTTAATCTAAAGGATTCCTAATTCTCCTATGATTTTACTTTTCAGTATTGGGGATTGAACTCTGGTGCTCTGCCATGAAGCTACATTCCCAGGCCCAATGACCATTTTTTCTGATTTCTGTCACCATCCATCAATGCATTTTGTTTACTCATGGGCTGGAATAAGAATGTTGAAGGCTGCTGACACACAGGCAGGCAGAGGATCCCATTTAGGAGATGGGACTTCTTGACCATGCCTTCCAGGGCTACAGCCCAAGGTTCTCTGTCCTTGGCCATCTTCCTTCTGGGCAAGGACAGCGGCTTGCTACCTGTGAACAGGCAGAAGCAGATTGGGGAGCAAGTAGCCCAGGCTTGGGGTGGAAGGGAGATGTTGGGAAGCTGACTTAAATGGACTGCTTATTTGACTAGGCCCAGGCTCAGCCCCAGGCTCAGCCCCAACCCCAACCTCAGTCTCAGCCACCGGCATCCAACAAGCGTCCCAGCAATAGCACGCCACCCCCTACACAGCTCAGCAAGATCAAGTACTCAGGGGGGCCCCAGATTGTCAAGAAGGAGCGAAGGCAAAGTTCCTCCCGCTTCAACCTCAGCAAGAACCGGGAGCTACAGAAGCTTCCTGCCCTAAAAGGTATTTGTAGATATCCAAGGGACTTAGAGGTGCTGAGTATTGGATAAATGATCCTGGGCAGGGGGGGGTTATCTTGGAAAGAAGGAAGTTCTAGGGAATCTGAGGGGAGTTCTATAAGGGGGGCGGGCAGTGGCAGGGTGGGAGAGCCCTGTAAGGTTAGCGGCGTCTAGCCTGGAAGATGGTAGTGGTGGGGAGGACTTGACGTCTGGGCCCCCACAGATTCACCAACCCAGGAGCGGGAGGAGCTATTCATTCAGAAGCTGCGCCAGTGCTGCGTCCTTTTTGACTTCGTGTCAGACCCACTCAGTGATCTCAAATTCAAAGAGGTGAAGCGGGCAGGACTCAACGAGATGGTGGAGTACATCACTCACAGTCGTGACGTTGTCACTGAGGCCATCTACCCCGAGGCTGTCACTATGGTGGGCATAGCAGAGGGATGCCGGGGATTGCGGGGGGGAGGGGGGGTTGGAGGCCTGGAGAAAGTTGGATGGTGTTCTAAGCTGGACCCACCCTTCAGTTTTCAGTGAACCTCTTCCGGACGCTGCCACCTTCATCAAATCCCACAGGGGCTGAGTTTGACCCAGAGGAAGATGAGCCCACTTTGGAAGCTGCTTGGCCACATCTCCAGGTACCAGGCCAGGGGGCAGGATGGCTGTGGCTGTAGGGAACAGGGGCATTCAGAGGCCTGCAGCAAAGTGGGTATCTGCATCTGCCAGGTCTTGGGCTCTACCTCAGTAGATGCTTCTTTCCCTCCACAGCTTGTATACGAGTTTTTCTTACGTTTCCTGGAGTCTCCTGATTTCCAGCCAAACATAGCCAAGAAATACATTGACCAGAAGTTTGTCCTTGCTGTGAGTCCCTGAAGTTCCTGTCCTTCCCCTCTCTCATCTGCAGTCTCTAGCCCACATCCATCACCTGTGTCTTGCTGCACTCCTCCCTTAGGCTAAGTGCCCTGGGGCTTCTGCTGTGTCTGGAACAAGAACACCATGGGAGGGAAGAGGGTCAAAAAGCCTACTGCAGGCCTGGTGCCAGGGGCTCATGTCTGTCGTCCTAGCTACTTGGGAGGCTGAGATCTGAGGATCTCAGTTCAAAGGCCAAGCCCAGGCAGGAAAGTCTGTAAGACTCTTATCTCCAATTAAACACAAAAAGCTGGAAGTGGAGCTGTGGCTGAAAGTAGTAGAGTGCTAGCCTCAGACACAAAAGCTCAGGGACAGTGCCTAGGCCTTGAGTTCAAGCCCTAGGACCTGCACACACACCCACACACACAAAGCCTTCTGCACCTTTAGGAAGTTTCCAGTGTAATGGGAAAAATCCAATGCAGTGCTGCCCCCACGCAGTGTATATAACATGCACTCCCACGTGCCACATGGGATAGAGCAGTCCAGTAAAACTTGCTTCCAGCTTTCCAAACGTGCCCTCACGCTATCTCAGAGGACCTCTCCCCCAGGCCCAGCCTCCCCTGACTGCTGCCTGTCTGCTTTCCTCCCTCCTGCTCCCAGCTCCTGGACCTATTTGACAGTGAAGATCCTCGAGAGCGAGACTTTCTCAAGACCATTTTACATCGCATTTATGGCAAGTTTTTGGGGCTCCGGGCTTATATACGTAGGCAGATCAACCACATCTTCTACAGGTGAGGCAAGGGGTCTGGTCTAAAGGGAGGTGGGGGCTATAGAACGCTAGAGGGACATCAGGGCCAGTGTCAAGAGTGCATGTCCCTTCCCTCAGGTTCATCTATGAGACAGAACATCACAATGGGATTGCTGAGCTCCTGGAGATCCTGGGCAGGTAAGAGGTGGGTTTGGATCAGGGCACAGTTTGAATCTGGCTCTTTGGTCCTAAAAAATAAAATCCTCCCTTCACTCCTAGTATCATCAATGGCTTTGCCCTGCCTCTTAAGGAAGAACACAAGATGTTTCTGATCCGAGTCCTGCTTCCTCTTCACAAAGTCAAGTCCCTGAGTGTCTATCATCCTCAGGTGAGCTGCCTTCCTCCTAATAATCCCCAGCGCAGCTGAGATGGAAATGGGACAGGGAAGGAAGGCATGGAGGGGGTGGGCCAAGTCCTCTTCTGTACCTTCGCTTGTGTTCTGGGATCTTGTCTCTGACTTCTATGAGACTTCCCAGGCCCTGCGCTTCATCGTTCTTCCTCACCTTTGGCAGTTGGCGTACTGTGTGGTACAGTTCTTGGAGAAGGAGAGCAGTCTGACTGAACCAGTAAGTCCCCTTCTGGCACCTATAGCCTATTTCTTTTTTTTTTTGTCGGTTGTGGGACTTGAACTCTGGGCTTGGGCACTGTCCCTGTGTTCTTCAGCTCAAGGCGAGCGCTTTACCACTTGAGCCACAGCGCCACTTCTGGTTTTCTAGTGGTTTATTGGAGGTAAAAGTCTCATGGACTTTCCTGCCCAGGCTGGCTTTGAACTGCAATCCTCAGATCTCAATCTCCTGAGTAGCTAGGATTACAGGCGTGAGCCACTGGCGCCCAGCTAGCCTATTTTTCTTTTGCCAGTCTTGGCGCTTGAACTCAAGGGGCCTGGGCACTGTCTCTGAGTTTCTTTTTGCTCAAGGCTAGCACTCTACCACTTGAGCCATAGCGCCATTTCTGGCTTTTTTTGTGTATGTGGTACTGAGGAATCAAACCCAGTGCACGCTAGGCAAGCACTCTATCACTAAGCCACATTCCTAGCCCTAGCCTACTTCTTACTACCCTAGGTATTGCTTGCAGACTATACCTGGTTTAAAAAAAAAATTCTGTAAGTGGGTGCTTAGGAGAGATGGCCTGATAGGTGATGTGGTTTTCTCTCTGGAGAAGTAAAACCTGCATATACCTAGAATGTATCCAAGCCAGAGAAACACGAGTCATTACCTATCCCCAAATGATACTCAGCCAGCGTAGGGCTAGGAGAGGGTCACAGGAAGGCTTCGTAGGGAAGCAGCAGTGCTGAGACTCTACCCTCATGTCCTCTTTCAGGTGATTGTGGGACTTCTCAAGTTTTGGCCCAAGACCCACAGCCCCAAGGAGGTGATGTTCCTCAATGAGCTAGAGGAGATTCTGGATGTCATTGAACCCTCAGAGTTCAGTAAAGTGATGGAACCACTCTTCCGCCAGCTTGCCAAGTGTGTCTCCAGCCCCCATTTCCAGGTAGAATGCAGCCCCAGGGTGCCCCAGCTCCCACCGCCCTGCCAGAGGGAAGCAGGCCTTCTGACAGGTACGCAGTGCCCCACCAAGTCCCCCCTTCTCCCCACCAGGTGGCTGAACGCGCCCTCTATTACTGGAACAACGAATACATCATGAGCCTCATCAGTGACAATGCTGCCCGCGTTCTCCCCATCATGTTCCCCGCACTCTACAGGAACTCCAAGAGCCACTGGAACAAGTAGGGCACTGGGCAGGGGCTGGGCATTGGGAATCTGGAAGAACTTAAGTGCTAGGAATGTTACCTGGGTACTCAGCAAGGAGAGCTGGCACCACTGCATATTGATAGGAGGGATTGAGAGAAAAGATGCCATATAAGAGATCTCTGCACTATCTAACAGCAGAAGAGACATCTATATACATTTATCTATACATACATACATACATACATATATATATCACTGCTTCTTGACCTCAGATATCCTGCTCTGGAGATAGAGAAGCAATGTGAGCTGCTTAGAGCACATAGGTAAAGCATCTGAGTTGTAAAAAGGCTTTCCTGCTAAAAGCCAGCCTTGTGTTGTGCCGACACAGCCTATCATGTTGCTAGAGGCTATTTGTGTGGGTTAGAGCCTTGGAACATGGGGTGGGGGAAAGGGGAGACTAGTGTACCAAGATTTGTAAATGCACCTCTGAAGTCACCTGTTCTGGTCAGAGTTGAGTGCTGAAGTTTGTGATCTAAGAGTAGAACGAGAAAGCTTTAGCAGAGACATCTCTGAGAAATGAGTAAATGGAAAGGGCATGCTCTGACCCCCTGTACATCTTACCTCCGTGGCAGGACAATCCATGGACTGATCTACAATGCCCTGAAGCTGTTTATGGAGATGAATCAGAAGCTGTTTGATGACTGCACACAACAATACAAGGCAGAAAAGCAGAAGTGAGTATATCTCTCCCTGGAGATTTTTCACCTGCCTTCTCTCAAGCCCAGCCCCAATCCTACTTTTGCTCCCTCAGGGGCCGCTTCCGAATGAAGGAGAGAGAAGAGATGTGGCAAAAAATTGAGGAGCTCGCTCGGCTCAACCCCCAGGTGAGACTTTTCTGCCACTGTCCTGCACTCTTGGGGTCGGGGTGCTGGAGGAAGAGGACGAAGCAAACACACTGCCTCCGCTCCTTTCAGTATCCCATGTTCCGCGCTCCTCCACCACTGCCCCCCGTGTACTCCATGGAGACAGAGACCCCCACGGCAGAGGACATCCAGCTTCTGAAGAGGACGGTGGAGACAGAAGCTGTGCAGGTTGGGGAGAGTACCGGGGGTAAAAGGGTTAGGGGGTGAATAACAGATGGGGGAGGGAGAAGCAGGAATAGTAATCAGTATGAGAAAGAAGTATGGCCATTTTGTCTTCTCCATGTCCACGAACAGATGCTAAAAGATATCAAGAAGGAGAAAGTGCTGCTTCGGAGGAAGTCAGAGCTGCCTCAGGACGTCTACACCATCAAGGCACTGGAGGCGCACAAGCGGGCGGAAGAGTTCCTAACTGCCAGCCAGGAGGCTCTCTGACCCCCTCACCTTCCCACAGGGTCACAGCCCACTCAGCCCTGGGACGCTGCCCTGGCCCTCTACCCTCTGCTCCCTACTGGTTGACTCGGGGCAAGGTAGCACCTCTCTGGCTACTCTAGAGGATGCAGGCACTTGAAGCGGGGACACCCAGTGTGGTCCCTCTTCTCCCCAAAATGTGTTCATGCCTCCCTGTGGCTACAGTACAGGCTGAGCTTTGAAATGCTCAGTGCTCAGACTACCTGGGGATGCCTGTCCCCTTCCTGCTCCTATCCCCCACAGCTACTTGAGGCTGCTTTGAGAAATACACACGGAATCATACTCTCCTCTCCATCCTCCTCTGAACTCTAGGTGTCTCCCCTCCTGCTGCACAGGCATTAGGGAGCAGCAGGGGGTTATTCTCACCAAAGTTACTTGTACATCAAGCTCCACGGGCCCCTGGAGTGGCTGGAGAGGAGCCTATCCCCAGCAGCACAAATAGGCCCCCAGACCCAGCAGTGTGTGCGCTGATGGGGTTGTATTATTTCCTCTTAACCCCTGCCTGACAAAGACAACACAGAGGTCAAAGAAGCAAAAGTCTAGGCCATGGACACTACATGGTGAATATAGGGCCCAGTGGACCAACTAGGGCAGGGCATAAACAGCGTGTCCCTATGACCCCCCCTTTGGTGAGCAGCAGCCCTGGGATTGAAAACACAGAAGGGACCACCCTGTGGCTGACTGCTTTCCTGTGCTATTGGTTCCAAAGTTAGAAAGAAGGAAGCAGGGAGCAGTGCCCCGAGCATGGCTCCCCCAACACCTATTTATTTCTTAGTTTGTGCTGATGCTGGGCGGGCCCTCAGTCATCCCCTTTAAGCACCTTGGAGGAGAAACAAGGGGCTGAGGAGGGCTGGACCCATATTCCAGGGGCACAGGCAGTGTGGCTTTTGGCTGTGTACACAGGGTGCTTTATTCTCCACAGAGTGATACATGCTACGGTAGGTTGGGCTTGGGCCGATGTCCCCATATGTACAGAACCGAATAAAGTGGGTCTCTGAGAAGTCTGATTTGCCTTGATGTGAAAAGGAGATGGGGAGGGTGGAGATGGACATTATAACCAGAGATGTGTTCAGTCCTGTCCTGGTTCCGGCCTGGAATGTAGGGAGATAAGGCAGCTCTTGAGATGGTCACTTCCAGGCAGGAGATGCCTGCCGGGCTTGGAGGGCTTTCTGTACCACATCTTCCCACTGGGCATCCGATATCTCCCGAGCCCAGGCAGGAACCCCTGGCGCAGGCAGGCTTACTCCAGCCATCGTCCTTTTCACCAGCTCTACGTGTTCTGAAATCACAGCCAGAGGCTGGTTAGGGGATAGAAAAAATGGGACCAGCTCCTCACAGCAATCCTTGAGTCAACCCTGACTTACTGGATCACCTCCAAGTTTAGTCGAACAGGATCGAGGAAGTCTACAAGCTGGTTCACAAATTACGGTTTTAGGGACGAGGTATGCCTCACTAACTTCCTTCTAACAGCTTGGCCTGTCCATTTCCCCCACAATTATTTCCAGGTGAAAGGATGGTCTTTTTTTTTTTTTTTTTTGGTCGCTGTGAGCCTGAACTCTAGGCCTGGCACTGTCCCTCAGCTCTTCAGCTCAAGGCCAGCACTCTACCACTTGAGCCACAGTGCCACTTCCGGTTTTCTGGTGGCTTATTGGAGATAAGAGTCTCACGGACTTTCCTGCCCTGGCTAGCTTTGAACCGCGATCCTCAGATCTCAGCCTCCTGAGTAGCTAGGATTACAGGCGTGAGCCACCAACGCCCGGCTAGGGTGGTCTTTCTTACCTGGGTCCATGGGAATGGAGCTGTGGCTGCTCAATGCTGTGGCTCCCTCCTCATCTTCATCCTCACTCTCTAATGGTGGATCTGGCAGGTGCAGCCCCAGGGCCTGCAGAGCCAGAGAAAGACAGTCTAGGTCCGGCCTTTGAGCAAATTCAGCTTCACCTGACGGGAACAATCCCATCCTCCATACCTGGATCCGATCCTGGATGTCAGCAACTACATCTTCTCCCTCACCCACTGGTGCCAACTCCACCTCTTGTTCAGGATCTTGGTTTAGGGGCTGGTAGGAGTAGCCAGCAGGACCTGCCCCGGTTTCCTCCTGTTCTTCCTCAGGTTCTTCACCGCTCCAGTCGCCGGTGCCTTCTGTAGGGCCCTGATGTGGCCCCAGTTCCTCTGTCTGATTGGGGAAGATACGCTCAGGGCCCATGGTGTCTCCCCCAAGAACTACTGCTGCCATCCGGGCAGGGGCTGCAACAACAAGGAGGCAGGAGGACAGGGATTGGATGAGGCCGGCTCACGTTCACCCTGTTATCCGGCTCCTGGCGGCTCTCCATCTGGTCTCCATCTACGTCCCCCGCCCCCGCTCGCCTCTCCCAAGGTTCCTGCCCGCCCCCGCCTCTCCCTTCCCACCCCAGCCCGGCCCCACCCGCCTCACTCCCACAGCTCTCAGCCACAGCCCCCATTCGGGGCCCAGCCCCTCGCCACGCCCCTCCCCGACTCGGGGGATCCCGAGTCCAGACTCCCCCGGGGCAGGGCGTACCCGCCCTCTCCTCCCCTCTCCGGAGGGCTCCCATCAGTACGGCCCGGGGCCGAGGAGCGCCCCCCACCCGCCCCCACCGACCCGCAGCGCCGGCGTTCCCGCGCGCCTCACCCTCTCAGAGCCCACGGCCGGACCCGCACCTTCACTTCCGGCGGGACGGGACGTGCTGGGGCGCCTCGGCCTCTGGCCCCGCCCCGTGCCCCAGACTGACGCGGGCGAGGACGAGGAATCCGCCCCTTGCCCCGCCTCCGCCATCCCCTGCCCGGACAACAAAGGACTACATTACCCAGTGGCCCCCACGGTCTTGGACATCTACCTGCACATGCGCAGAACTCGCGTTGGCGGCTGCCCACTTCTCGCTTTCGATCTTTAGGAAAGCTGCGGACTACAAATCCCGGAAGGCGTCGGGCAAGCAGCTCCGGCCGCACGTGCGCTCCCTGCTGCTCGCCGGAAGGACAGAGCCTGGCTGTGTTTATCTCGTTGGGCACCGCGGAGTCGGTTGGCGCGCAACGGGTTCTAGGCTGCAGGCAGCGCGAGGATCCGCGGCCCCGCCCCGGCCCGGCCTGGCAGGTAGACTCGGATGGGTTGAAGGGCCCGGAGGAATTGGGAGGGCAGGCGACGCCCATGCTCGGAGCCGAGGTGGTGGGGGAGGGGCGGGGCGGGGAGGTGGGGGTGGGGAGGCACTAGGGGGATGACGGGAAAGGAGAGTGTTGAGGGGCCTGGCAGGGCTGCGGGAGCATGGTGAGGGGGCCGGCGGGGGAGGCCTGGCGGCTGGGGGAGGGAACCGGGTGGGAGGGAGTCTGGGTTACGGAGACGAAGACCGGGAAGCTGGCTTAATGGAAGGGAGTGGGGGGTGTGGCGTTGCGGGGAGAGGAGGCTGGGGTGGAGGGTAAGGGGGGGAAGGAAGCATGAATAGTCATTTCAGGGGCCAAAGTCCAAGATGGCAAGGGAACAATGAATATCAGGGTGTTTTGTTTTTCTTTCTTCCCTCCGTGGAAGCAGAAAGATGGAGGGCTGTCGACCTTGAAGTGGTGGGAGAAGGAAAAAAGGAGAAAACCTGAAAGCTCTCAGGAGATCAAGAAGGGCCACCAATGACGAGTGGAAATTGCAAGAGATCAGGGATGGGGTGGGTACATTCAGGAAATAAGCTTAGTGATGGAGATGGGGCCACCCAGACACGGAGCCTCCGAGCCTGAGGCTTGTTCTTCTTGAGTTTAAGTTGCCCTTATGAAAGAAGCTAAGGTTCCTTTTCCACCTTGGCTGGGATCGCTTCTCTTCAGCTGTGTGCGCATTTTTAAATTTTAATTTATGGGGAGACTAGAGGGTGGGGGGGGGGACACAGAAGAAAGCCTTCCTTCTTTCCTTCTTAAGATCTTCAATCTCCTGCCCCTATAAGCCTAGATCTAAGGTATTTTGGACAGAGAGGTGGAGTAATGGAGTGAGAGTAGCTTCTGGCTGGAGCTGTTTCAGGTTAGACAGGGTGGCTATTTAAGACAGATGTGAGTTGGGGGGGAGTAGCTTGAGTGGGTAGGACTGGTAGTCTAGAGGAGTGAGAGCTATATCTTTCTTTCAAGAGGGTCTCCCTTACTTGGGTGGGTTTGAAAAAAAAATTCTCCTGGTTTGAGGTTCTCTCTGGTCTGTCTGCCAAGACTTTTTGAACAGGGAGCAAGTGATCTGCCCAAACCCAGCAGGTGTCTGCCAGCAAAGACATTGCCAATTTCAAGAGGATTTGTCTAAAGGCACCCTCAAATAAACTGTTATGACTAGGTTGGCAGATTGTCTTTAAGAGACCGTGACACTTCATGCTTGGATCTTTTTCTTGTCTTGCCCAATGGAATTTTTTACTTTTTTTTTTGTCGGTCATGGGGCTTGAACTCAGGTCCTGGGTGCTGTCCCTCAGCTCTTCAGATCACGGCTAGCACTCTATCACATGAGCCACAGCGCCACTTCCAGTTTTCTGGTTGCTTATTGGAGATAAGAGTCTCATGGAGGGACTGGGAAAGAGGCTTAGCAGTACAGTGCTTGCCTCCCATGCATGAGGCCCGGGGTTGGATTCCTCAGCACCACATAAACAGTAAAAAAGGCCGGAAGTGGCACTGTGGCTTAAGTGGTAGCATGCTAGCCTTGAGCTGAAGAGCTCACAGACAGTACCCAAGCCTAGAATTCAAACCACACAACTGACGAAAAAAAAAAAGTCTCACGGAGCCTGGTGCTGGTGGCTCACGCTTGTAATTTTAGGTACTCAGGAGGCTGAGATCTGAGGATCAAGGTTCAAAGCCAGCCAGCACAGGAAAGTCCATGAAACTCTTATCTCCAATAAACCACCAGAAAACTGGAAGTGGTGCTGTAGCTCAAGTGGTAGAGAGCTAGCCTTGAGCTGAAGAGCTGAGGGACAATGCTCAGACCCAGAATTCAAGCCTCATGACCGCCAAAAAAAAAAAAAAAAGGAGTCTCTTGGACTTTTGTGCCCCGGCTGGCTTTGAACTGAGATCCTCAGATCTCTGCCTCCTGAGTAGCTAGGATTACAGGCATGAGCCACTGGCACCCAGCTACACCCTCCCCCCCCCCCTTTCCAAAGCACCTCCTGCTATCTCTGTCCCCCTTTTAGGGACTCAAGTAGGGAATCGCTGCTAGACAGGGTTTATTCTCTACTACAGCATACAGCATTAGGATTGGGGAAGTGGCAGGAGAAAACCCCTCTTCCCTACCCCTAATCCCAGTCATACATACCACATAATCCCAGGCAACTGGCTTAAGTTTCTAGTCCTGGCAATGTATGCGGCACAGCTGTCAAAGGAACTCCTCGTGCCTGTGGGAGCCCTGGGTGATCCAGGGACAAGAGCTCATCTTGACAAGAACTCGCTGTGAGGGACCAATCAGCTATGGTCACGTAGAGTTCCTTGTCCTGGGTAAGGGCACTCTTCTACTCTCAAATCATCTTTGCTTTAAAGCACCTGTGCCAGTTTTCAATGGACTGGCTAGGCTATTAATAGCTGTGAGTATTTTGAGATCCCTTTCCCCACCTTTAAGAGCATGGAGATTCTTCGAGAGGTGGCAGTAAGCAGAGGAGGGCTAGAGACAGAAGAACACACCCCACCTGGGAAGGGGGCTTGGAAGCTTGTGCTAAGCCAAGGACAGGGTTGAGCCTGTACGAGTAGGGGGCCACTCTGATCAGCAGATTCTGAGTTGGCAATCAAGTTGAGGTGGCCCCACCCTTCACTGTGGGAGAACACAGGGCCAGGGCTAGCTCCTTGACCTCGGCAGCTCCCCTGGGGCAGGGCCTGCCACCTGAGCCGTGACTAGTAAACCCTGCAGAAGGGTGTGTAGGAGAGCCACCAGGGTTACTTTTGGAGGCAAGGGCTGGTCCTGGGGCTGTCCCAGCTGGGCAGAAGACTGGCCTAAGGAGCCTGTGGTGCTGACTTGTGTGCAGGTAGCAGAGGCAGCAGGCCGTGCCGGGGGGGCATGTTGCTGTAACCTGTGGCCCAGGGGATGTTACGGTGGACAGTGCATCTGGAGGGCGGGCCACGCAGGGTGAACCATGCTGCGGTGGCTGTTGGGCACCGAGTATACTCCTTCGGGGGTTACTGCTCTGGTGAAGACTACGAGACGCTGCGACAGATAGATGTGCACATTTTCAACGCAGGTGAGTCTTTGCTGGCACTGCCCCTGCGCGCCTCTATCAGGGAGAGAGGAGAGCGGGTACCTGAGTGCAGTTCAGTGGTGATTCCTGAGGCTCAGGGGACCGGGGAGGAATATCAGATTTGGCCGAAGGTGGGCAGCCTGGAGCCAAGTTCTTAGGTCTGAACAGAGCCGTTCCCACAGTGTCCTTGCGTTGGACAAAGCTGCCCCCAGTGAGGCCCGCTGTCCGTGGGCAGGCGCCTGTGGTACCCTACATGCGATATGGACATTCAACCGTCCTCATCGACGACACAGTCTTCCTGTGGGGTGGGCGGAACGACACGGAAGGGGCCTGCAATGTACTCTATGCCTTTGACGTCAGTGAGTATGGATCTCTATGAGACTGTGTTCCTCTAAATGGTGCCTTAGGAGCTTAGGAATAATGGTGTGGCTGGGGGGTGTTTGGGGAGTTGGGTGCCCTGGGATTGAAGAGGAAGTGACCTCACTTGCTGATCTAGGTCATTGCCTCTCTCCCTCAGATACTCACAGATGGTCCACTCCGCGAGTGTCGGGAACAGTTCCTGGGGCCCGGGATGGGCATTCAGCTTGTGTCCTGGGGAAGATCATGTACATTTTCGGGGGCTATGAGCAGCTGGTATGTCTGAGAAGAAATGAGAGGTTCCGTGTGAGAATGAGAAGGAAGGGGAAGTTAGCATGGTGGGATGGAAGGGTCAGAGAGTCAGAGTGAGACCACTGGCACTGTCTTTTTTTGTTTTTTGTTTTCCCTTTCCTCTTTCCACTCAGGCGGACTGCTTTTCCAATGACATCCACAAGCTGGACACAGGAACCATGATGTGGACCCTTGTTTGTACAAAAGTATGGCTTTGCTTCTTTTCCCAGATCCCACCCTTCATTGAAGAACTCGTAAGAAAGCCCAATGAGAGCAGATTCCCCCCCCCCCCCCATCTGACCCACTTCCTTTCCTCTCTCTCTCTGCTCTTGTCCAGGGTAACCCTGCACGCTGGAGGGATTTTCACTCCGCTACAATGCTGGGCAATAAAATGTATGTCTTTGGGGGACGTGCAGACCGCTTCGGGCCATTCCATTCCAACAATGAGATTTACTGCAACCGTATCCGCGTCTTTGACACCAGAACTGAGGCCTGGCTGGACTGTCCACCCACTCCAGTGCTGCCCGAGGGGCGCCGGAGCCATTCTGCCTGTGAGTGTCTGCTGCTCTCCCGCAGCCTCCCTTGTGCTGCCTGCACACTCTTGACATTTCTCTGTCCTTCCAGTTGGCTACAACGGGGAGCTGTACATCTTTGGTGGCTATAACGCAAGGCTAAATCGGCACTTCCATGACCTCTGGAAGTTTAATCCTGGTAAAAAGCACTGCCTTTAGGAGAACAGTTGAGATGGGAGAGAAAGAATAAGTCCTGAGTGGGTGAGGAGGGGATGAAGCTATATGGACTGGGCAGGTTTTGAATGTCCATATACACTTCTTTTTAGTGTCCTTTACCTGGAAAAAGATTGAACCGAAGGGGAAGGGGCCATGTCCCCGCCGGCGCCAGTGCTGCTGTATTGTTGGTGACAAGATTGTCCTCTTTGGGGGTACCAGGTAAGGAGGAGAGAGGCTCATCATGTCTGTGACTTACAGGAGAGAGTGAAGTATTAGAGCAAGAAGGCCTCATAGGTAGTTTTTTTTTTTTTTCCTCCAACCTTGCTCTCTTTGGATCCCTCCAGCCCATCTCCTGAGGAAGGCCTAGGAGATGAATTTGACCTCATAGATCATTCTGACTTACACATTTTGGATTTTAGTAAGTATAGTTTCTTCTGAGGTGCTGCAGCTATTGGGAGCCCTGGTCTTTGGGTGGTGACAGCTAGGGCTGGCCCTGTCCCAGTCTTTGACTATCTCCTTCCCCTCACCCCTCTTTTAAAGGCCCTAGTCTGAAGACTCTGTGCAAACTGGCTGTAATTCAGTATAACCTGGACCAGTCTTGTTTGCCTCATGATATCAGGTAAGGCCAGTGGTTGCAGGGTATGGACTAGTTGAGGGTGAGTAAGCAGCACAGGTGTGCGTAAGCAGCACAGGTGTGACCTGATTAGTTCCAGCCCAGTATGGAGGACAGTTGTTTTGTTTTGCTACAGAGGACACGTAGTTCTTGTGAGGAAAGAGAGGAAGAGGTGAAGGCATAACACCTTTATTATCATAGAACAAAGCTGTCAGCTGCATATATTATAGGAAAAAAAATTTAAAAACTTAATTTTTTTTTTGATCAAGCTCCCGGAGACCTGAGCCTATAGATTGTTAATATTGTGAGAACAGCTGATTAAATTTTAGAACCTAGCCACAAAGAAAAGACAAGGCTTTGTTTTGGGGGGGTGGGGTGGGGAGGGTGGGACTGGTACTGGGGATTGAACTGAAGATCTGGGCACTGTCCCTGAGCTTTTTTGTTCAAGGCTAGTGCTCTAACACGTGAGCCACAGCTCTCCTTCCACTTTATTGGTGGTTAATTACTGATAAGAGTTGCAACAGACTTTCCTCTGAGCTGGCTTTGAACCACAGTCCTCAGATTTCAGCCTCCTGAGTAGCTAGGGTTACATGCATGAGCCACCAGCACCTGGCAGGTTTAGGAGCTTTCAGAACTAAGGGAGGCACTGGCTGTTCTCTTTGGTTTCAGTACTTCAGTTCAGATCAAGCATCAAATACTTTTTGTGTCATTTTGCTCTTTGGATTATTCTGACACTCTCCCTCTCCTCACCATTTCACGAAACCTGAGTCTGCATATACTATTTTTTGGTACAAAGTATATAGGCTGGGACTGGTAAAAAGATCAGACTGGCCAAAGATGGACACATGAGCAACTAACTAACTAGGTTGTTTTTGGTCTAGGCTTAATGAGGTATTTAGTGAGCCTTTATATATTAAAAATTGTAGAAAAAGTACCTTTTAATGTTCAGGATGGATGGAAAGGCCTTGAACTGGTGGAAATTGACAACAGAAATGGAAAGCTGGGTAGGGCTACTTGGTTCAACCTGAGCAGAGCAGGAAAGGTGGATTGGGACATGTACTGTTATGGGTATACCGATCCCATCGGCTTGAATTCAGGAGGGGAAAAAAACACACACACAATGAGTCCACATGAGCTTGGAGGTGGAGGAGTAGGGGGTATTGGATTTGATGGTGGGTGAAGTCTGACCGGTAAGCTCTAAAGACTACGGAAAAGGTGGTTGTGGGTAGTTGAGCTTTAGACTGGTATGGGTATAGTTTCCTTCAAGGAATTCTGGGCTTACCCCCTTCTGTTTTTTCTGCTTGCCATTCATTTTTGGTCTTCCAGGTGGGAGCTGAATGCCATGACCACCAACAGCAATATCAGTCGCCCCATCGTCTCCTCCCACGGATAGGAGGAAGTTTGTGCCGCCTCCCTTCCTGAGCCTGCCATCGTCTTCACTGCCCCCGCCCATCTCTCACTTGCCTGCCCCTTGGGACCCTGGACTCAGTATACCTCCACGTGGAGTTGTTGGACTAGAGATGTTTTCTGTGCTGTGAATTCAGTGGGGAGCTGTGGGGGAAGGGCTAGGTCCCTCCTCCCTTGGGCCTAGGGCCCCCTCCCCTTGGTGCTCTGTTCCCATCCACCTTTCTCCGACTGCTCCTGGGTCTCTGCTCTGCCCCTGGCCAGCCAGGTGGCCAGGCTCTGCTGGGAAGGGAAGGGAATGGGGAGAAGGGAGAAGCAAGCAGTGTCGGAGCCTCAGGAGCTTCCCTCTCCCCCTCCTGTCCCCTGCCCTGCTTGTGATGCAGCTGTTGGCGCGAGACCTCCTTCTCCCTGACCTGGGAGGCGGGACCAGCAGATATCCCATCCTCCAAGGAGCTGTCGCTGGTACCCCGAAGCTCAGCCAGCTCAGATTTTATAAAAATAAACTAAAACCTCCCTACATGTGCCGTGTGTTTCTGGAATGCCGTGGAAGATGGCAGGAGTTTGCAGTGGGACGGTGCAGCCAGAGGCGCCCTGACGTCCCGGCTTCTTAGCCTAGTGGCCACTCGACCTCCAGCAGCCTCGGGGTCAGACCCCAGCAGCCCGCGCGCCGTCTTCCACTGGTTCAACGTCAGTCGAGCGGCGTCTCCGGACGCCGGAAAGGGCGGGCCTAGGGCCGCCGTAAGCGGAAGTGGCATCATTAGTTTCCGGAACGTCGCGGGAGCCGATGAGGAGAGCCGCTTCTCGCGCGGGACGCGGGGCCCAAGGGCCCCCGAAAGATAGGAACAAAGTCAGGAGCCCGGAGCTCGGGGCTGGGTCCCACGACCCGCCGAGGGGTGAGGACACAGGGTTGGGGGTGCGCCCCGGAGCCCGGGAGGGCCGGCGCTGGGCGCCTCGCGGGGTGGCGGGAAGCGGGGAAGGGTCCTAGCGGAGGTTACCCCCCCCCCCCCCCCCCGAGCTAGACTGCCGCCACCGGAGCCGAGGGTAAAGCGGCCGGACGCCAAGACAAGCCGAACTCGGGCGGCTCACACCTGTCATCGTAGCTACTCTGATGCCTGGGGATGGAGGTTTCAAGCCAGCCTGCGCAGGAAAGTCAGACGCTTCTTACCTTCAACCCCCAGGGCCGGCACACACACGCACACACAAAGCAGAGCTGTGGCTCAAATGGTAGAACGCCAGTTTTGGGTGAAAAAGCCCCAGTGCCAGGCCTAAGGCCAGGCGCCCATAGCTCATGCCTGTCATCCTAGCTCCTCAGGAACTTGAGATGTAAGGATCGAGATTCGAAACCAGCTTGGGCAGCAAAGCCTGAGAAACACTATATCCAATTAACCAGCAGAAAAGCTGGACTGAAGGTGTGACTCAAGTGGCCATCAGTCTTGAGTGGAACAAGCCAAATGAGTGTGAAGCCCAGGGTTCAATATCCAGTGCAGAGGGGAGGAGGCAAGAAACAAAACAAGACCATGTGGCCAGTTGTGTGGAGAGGAGCCAGAGCTTTGTAGATTAGTGACACCAATGGAGGCTAGATATATGGGGGTTTTCAGGCCTTTATAAGATGTATGGCTTTTGGGTTTGAGCAAAATGGAGGCTATGGAGGGGCTTTGAGTTCAGGGGTGACATGATAATTTATGTGAGGGAGTGATAATGTCATGTTTTCTTCCTTGCATCTCTCAGGCTAAAATGGAGAGCATTGGTCTGAGAAGAGTAAGATTGGAAGTTGAGGGTCTAGTTAGAAGATGAGGGCACTGTCAGAACGAGAGACATGCTGAACTATCAGCCAGTGCCTTGGCAGTGATAACTTGTTCAAGGGAGACAGACTCCTGTGAAGGAGTAATTTAAGAGAGGTGTAGCTTGCTTGTCCTCTGGTCCTACATCTTTCTTAGCAAGGTGAGGCCCCAGCTCAAACAGCTGAAATGTAACAGAAACACCAGAGCCGCTTGGCACTTGTAATAATGATGAGAGGAACAGCTCCATAGGGATGGGATATCTCTTTGGCCGTGGGAGATGCTGGCCTGAGTTGAATGACTCTCTCTTCCCTCCTCCCCATTTCTGCAGGCATGTCTGACTTGTCATTTGAGGAGCTGTTGGAATTGCAGAACCAAGTGGGAACCAAGGCATACAAACAATTGGTAGCTGGAAAGAGCACTGAAAAGCAAGGTTCTAGGCAGTCTTCATGTGTTGCAGATAAGCACAAGTAAGGAACAAATTCTGTCCTCAGAGTTGGGAGGGTACCTAGGACCTTGAGCAGGTGTTGTGTTTTCTTGGGTGGCAGATTAAAGCCTTTGTTGAAGACTGGAGTAGCCTTGACCCATCCTTTAATTTCTCTATAGGCCTCTGGAAATGTCAGCCAAGGTCCGAGTGCCATACTTACGTCAGGTTGTTCCTGTCAGTAAGAAGGTGAGGAAGAGTGAGGAAGCACCTTCTTGTGGAAAGGAGACCAAATAGATACGTTGTATATTCTCTCTACTTTCTCCAAAGGTGGCCCGGGACCCCCGCTTTGATGATCTGTCAGGGGAATATAATACTGAGGTATTCGACAAAACATATCAATTCTTGGATGAAATCCGAGCCAAGGAGAAACAGGTGTGCTGCATAAGACTGGTTCCCACCTGTGCCCTGGGTGGGAGGCCATGGCGGAGGGGAACAGCAAGTGTACTGGTGGGCACATGTTATTCTGTAGCCTGGTTTTTTTTCTGTTCAAATTCTTCATTTTTTTTTTTTTTTTGTCGGTCGTGGGGCTTGAACTCTGGGCCTCGGCGCTGTCCCTCAGCTCTTCAGCTCAAGGCGAGCGCTCTACCACTTGAGCTACAGCGCCACTTCCGGTTTTCTGGTGGTTTATTGGAGATAGGAGTCTCACGGTCTCTCCTGCCCGGGCTGGCTTTGAACCGCGATTCTCAGATCTCAGCCTCCTGAGTAGCTAGGATTACAGGCGTGAGCCACCAGCGCCCGGCTAAATTCTTCATTTTTTAAAAATTAATTAATTTATTTTGTTTATAGGGTACCAAGGAATCAAACCCAGGGCCTCATGCATGTTAGGCAAGCACTCTACTGCTAAGCCACATAGGAATTCTTCATTTTTTTTAACTGTGTGATTATCAAGTAACTTAATCTCTCTTGGCTTTAGTTTTTATTAGTTTTCTAGTTAGTGTATTTTTCTTAATTGATATATAGTAATTGTACATACTCATGGGATACAGGACATTTCAATACATGCATTCAATCTGTAACAAACAGATCAGGGTATCTGTCATACCTATTAATTCAAACATTTGTGTTGGGAGCATTAATAAACTCTGCTAGGGCTGGGAATGTGGCTTAGTGGTAGAGTGCTTGCCTAGAATGCATGAAGCTCTGGGTTCGATTCCTCAGGACCACATAAATAGAAAAAGCAAGAAGTGGCACTGTGGCTCAAAGTGATAGAGCACTAGCTTTGAGCAAAAAAGCTTAGGGACAGCTCCCTAAAAAAAAATTAGTTGTTAGCCATAGTTACTCCACTATGCTATATGGAACCTTGGAAGTCATTCTTCCTATTAACTATATGCACCGATTAACTGTCCCCTTTCCAACCTACTTCCCCACATCCTCCTTCTCACCTCTAATAACCACTACTCTCCACTACTTCTTAGAGATCAGTTTCAGAATATGTGGTGTTTGTCTTTCTAATTAATTTTCTTTTTTTTCTCTTTTTATTTTTGCCAGTCCTGGGGCTTGAACTAGACGTGGGTTCTGCTTCTGAGCTGCTTTTGCCCAAGGCTGGTACTCTACCATTTGAGCCACAGTGCCTCCAGCTCTTTCTGTTTATGTGGTATTTAAGGCCTAGAACCCAGGGCTTCATGCATGTTAGGCAAGCACTCTGCCACTAAGCCACATTCTTAGCCCTCTAATTAATTTTCTTTTTTTTTTTTTTTTGTTGGTCGTGGGGCTTGAACTCTGGGCCTGGGCGCTATCCCTCAGCTCTTCAGCTCAAGGCGAGTGCTCTACCACTTGAGCTACAGCGCCACTTCCGGTTTTCTGGTGGTTTATTGGAGATAGGAGTCTCATGGTCTTTCTTGCCCAGGCTGGCTTTGAACCGCGATCCTCAGATCTCAGCCTCCTGAGTAGCTAGGATTACAGGCGTGAGCCACCAGCGCCCGGCTCCCTCTAATTAATTTTCTAATCATACAAAGGATAAGAGGTGTGGGAGTACAGCTTAGTGGTAGAGCTTGTGCTTAGCTTATGCCAGATCCTAGGTTCAATGTCCAGCACCCCCCCCCCCCCCCACACACACACACAAATTCCTTTTTAATTTTTTTTTTTTTTTTTTTGGTGAGTCATGGGGCCTGAACTCTGGGCCTGGGTGCTGCCCCTGAGCTCTTCAGCTCAAGGCTAGCGTTATACCACTTGAGCCACAGTGCCACTTCTGGCTTTTTCTGCTTATGTGGTGCTGAGGAATCAAACCCAGGGTCTCATGCATGCAAGGCAAGCACTCTACCACTGAGCCACCTTCCCAGCCCCACACGAATTCCTATCATTACATTATTTTGTGAACCTATTAGAAATAATGCTTGCCACAGGATCTCAGCTAATGCTTACACACACTAACCATTCTACTCATTTTCTGCTGTGGAGCTGGTGAAAAAGCAATTGAAGAAGCACCGTTCAGGGGAGCAGCATGAGAAACTGCAGCAGCTGCTTCAGCGAATGGTGAGTGGTTGATAGTAGTGGGTAGGTGAGGAGAGCAGTTCAGAGCAGGAGGTGGTTGAGTCCCTCCTGTTCACCATCGCATCTTCCGATTCTCAGGAGCAGCAAGAAATGGTACAGCAGGAACGCAAGAGGCAACAGGCATTGCACCTAGCCCAGAAGCAGGAGCGGCGTGCTCTGGCCCAGCAGGGCCATCGGCCCTACTTCATGAAGAAATGTGAGTGGGACCCAACTGTATGGTCAAGTCACTGGGGTCCATGAGATTCTTTAAGGATGGACTCCCCGCTAACTTGGTGAATAGAAACAGTAGCAAGAGTTAAAGCCAGTTTTGTGTCCCTAATTAGGTCATGGCAGGGATCATCATGTATCTCTTATAAAAGAAATCGTTTTTATATACACATTGCTGTCTCACCCTCCTCTCTACTTCTGGCCACCCCACCTTCTACATACATGCTAGGCCAGGCACTTAGGAACAGCTCAGAGTTAGTTCATTTGATAAGGACTAGAGTCTTGTAAAGAGTATTAGCTTAAGGTGGGCTACGAAGGTGACTCAGGGGTAGAGTGCTTGCCTCGCATGCATGAGGCCCTGGGTTCAATTCCTAAGCATGACATAGCAGAAAAAAAGCCAGAAGTGGCACTGTGGCTCAAGTGATAGGGTACTAGCCTTGAGGTGAAGAGCTGAGGAACAGCGCCCAGACCTAGAGTTCAGGCCCCATGACTGACCCCCCCCAAAAAGTTAGCTTAAGCCAGGTGCTGGTAGCTCATGCCTGTCATCTTAGCTACTCAGGAGTTTGAGATCTGAGGATCTCGGTTCAAAGCCAGCCTGGGCAGGAAGTCTGTGAGACTCTTATCTTCAGTTAACCACCAAAAAACTGGAAGTGGCTCTGTGGCTCAAGTGGTAGTGCATTCACCTTGAACTGAAGAGCTCAGAGACAGCACCCAGGCCCATAGTTCAAGCTCCATGACTGACACAAAAAAAACCCTAAAAACAAAACAAAAAAGTTAGCTTAGGCTGGGGATGTAATCAGTGATGGAGTATTTATTTAACAGTCATCAGACCTGAGTTCAGCCTATAACAAAACATACACGCACACGCACGCTTGGTCACATACACCAGTGAGCTCCACACAACTCGTGTCCCAGCATAAGCACTGAGGATTAGCAACCTGAGCACAGAAAGGTCGTCTTTTCCTTTGCTCACCAACTTGCTTTCTCCCTTTTCACCTAGCTGAACAGCGTCAACTGGCCCTGGCTGAGAAGTTCAAGGAGCTGAAACGCAGCAAGAAGTTGGAGAATTTCTTAAGTCGAAAGAGACGTCGAAACGCAGGCAAGGACAAGAGACATCTCCCCTTGAGCAAAGAGTAATAAGAAACTGTCTTCTGTCTGCACTGTCTGAGAAAGACATGGATCTATGGTGACCAGGCTACCTGTTCTTGTTTTTTCCTGTTTAAAAGCTCTTGAATTAAGAGAGAGCTCTTGGACAACTCTTTGGGCTGGAAAAATAAGGGGAACAGCCTTCTGCCAGGCTATGCTGCCAGTTTGGGTGGTTCATCATGTCCTCGTGTCTGACTATTCTCGCCTCAAGTCAGTGATGCTGGTACAAAAGGAACCATGGCATTTGCTCGTGGTCCCAGGGCTGGGACTGTAGGAACCATTTCATAAAGTCATGTTACATGTCTTTTTACTCTTCTGTTTTCTTATGGAAGATCTAAAATCACTGTTTTAGTGGACTCCCAGGGAGGCCCTGCCTTCCTTCTACTTCCTAATCATGCCATCAAATTATGAATCCTTCGATGGATTCCTTGATTTGCTCAAAGCCCTCATGATCCAGTCACAGCACCAGCTTGGGACCAGGCCTTCGACACATGTGTCTTCGGGGGACACCTTGTATCTGAATTGAAACAGTGGGGATAAAAAGTTTCCCTGTTAATATGTGAATATAGTTGGTCCTCTCTTTGAGACTAGAATTTATACAACTCATGGCCTAGAAAACCCTTGTGCTAATAATTTAGTTGAAAGTAGCCTCTGGTTGTTAGTGTCCCCAGGAACCTGCTAGAAGCAAATGCAATCTTTTTTTTTTTTTTTTTGGGTCTGGTCGTGGGGCCTGAACTCTGGGCCTGGGCGCTGTCCCTCAGCTCTTCAGCTCAAGGCTAGCGCTCTACCACTTGAGCCACAGCGCCACTTCCGGCTTTTTTCTTTTTGCTTATGTGGTGCTGAGGAATCAAACCCAGGGCCTCTGGCATGCAAGGCAAGTGCTCTACCACTGAGCCACCTTCCCAGCCCCGCAAATGCAATCTTTTAAGGAATGTTCTTTATATCCAAGCTTTAACAAGGAATTGTGGCCTGCAACTGGAGTCCCAGCTGCTCAGATGGTGAGGCAGGAGAATCACTTGAGTGCAAGGTTTTGAGACTTTTTCAAAAAGAAAAAGAGTTGGTGCTAATAGTACATCCTTGCAATCCCAGCTACAGCAGGAGGCTGAGATCTGATGATTGTGGTTGAAGCCATAACACCAGGCAGGAAAGTCCAAGAGACTCTCACCTCCAGTTCACCAGAAAGCCAGAAGTAGAGCTATGCCTCAAGAGTAGAAAAGCTAAAGGATAGCACCCAGGTCCCGAGTTCATATATATGCCCCAGTCCTGGCATATAAACAAAAAAGAAAATTTCACCTATGAAGAAAAGAAAGGTCCTGTACCAGTGGCTCATGCCTGTAATCCTAGCTACTCAAGAGGCTAAGATCTGAAGATCATAGTTCAAAGCCATCCCAGACAGGAAAGGCTGTGAGACTGATCTCTAATTAATCACAGAAAAAAGCTGAAAGTAGAGCTGTGACTCAAGTGGTCAAGTGCTAACCTTGAGCAAAAGGAGCTCAGGGACAGTGCCCAGGCTGAGTTCAAGCCCTAGGACTGGAAGGGGAAAAAAAAAAGCTGGGTACAGTGTCTGACATTTATAATCCTATCTAATCAGGAGAACTGAGGTTCATGGCCAGCCCAGGTAAAAACTCATGAGGCCCTCATCTCAATCAGTAAAAATATAGGTTGAGTGGTATATGCCTCTAACATCTACAGCTTAGACTGTGCAGGAACTGTAGGTATAGCAGCACAGGGCAGAATCCCTCAGCCAGTGCATGCTGGCCTGCCTGCCACAGGAGGCAGATCCCAGAGGAGGGCAGAAAACTGGTACCTGAGCACTAGCTCATAAATAAGCCTGGCTCGCACCAATGAAAGGCAACCTTCTGCTTCCAAGGAGAGGTACCTAAGTGACAAACTGCAGCACCAAATCCAGAACGCTAAGCCCGCCAGTGATACCCTGCCTCCTGCGCCCTCACGGCAGCCAGGGGCCAACAGCACCTGTGTGAAGTGCCTCCAACAGTGAGTGAGTCCTGGAATACCCACTTCTATCTGGCCTTCCTGTACCCTGTAACCACCTCTTACCTCCCCCCCAAACTTTCATAGCTTTCTCCCTGTCACTACTGGACTGTGAAAAGAGTTTCAGATTCTTCACTTGTCGCTAGTGGCTCTGCCAAGGACAGGACTCCACTCCTGGTCCAGGCACTAGTCCTCTGCCTGCCTAGCCTTGCCTCTGTAGGGCCGCCAATCCTGCAGCATACAAGTCTTGCTTGGGGGCTAGACTGGATTTAAGGGTAGGATGTGTAGCCCACTTAAGCAGAGGAGAGGAGCCTGTAGGAGGAAGAACAAACTGAGCTGGTTTCACTCTGGCCTGCTTGGATACAGGTTCCTGGGTGCCTGCAGTGGCTGTAGACATCTCTTATGTCTGGCCCCTGGACTCAGTGCTGAGAGGTGGCCAGAATGAACTCATTGGCAGCCTCCGCTGTGCTTCCACATCTACTCCCCCTGTCTCTGGTCCAACTCCACAAGGAAAGAAAAGGAAGCCCAGCTTGATAACCTGCCCAAGTTACAAAGCATCTGGCCAGTAGTGGAGGTGGGCTTGGGACTTCAGCCCACCAGGGTGAAAGCATTTCTAACTGCTCATCCTCGAAGAGGCTGAGCTCATCCAAGGTCATCTAATCCCTTGCCAGGAAGGGGGTGCTGAGACACAGATTCCCTCCGTCCTTTAGGCCTCACCTTGACGACTCCTTGCATGCCAGGCCACAGCCTCAGTGCCAGTAGACTCCTTCCCCCAGCAAAGGGAATGCCCCTTCTCCAGACTCACCACACAGCTCACATAGCAAATTCCTGCATTTTATTTCTGTAGAAAGCCCTGGCCAGGCCTACCCTAGACCCCACCTCCAGGACTATCGGAAGGTGGAGAAGCTGTGAGTGCAGGAGGCATAGGGCACACCCCGGGAACGGATCTGCAGGGTGTGGAAGGTGAGGGGTGGGTTGGGGCCTGAGATGCCAGGGTTTAGGGACTCGGTGTGGGGCTCCATCACGGTCACAGGGACTGCGTAGGACAGCATATAGGGCCGATCATCATGGCGTCTCAGTGTTCCTTTGCCCAAGAGATGCAGGATGCACGAGAGGACGTCAGTGCTGTTGCATGCACCTCCCTTGCCAAGGCTGCTGACCAGACCCCTGGGAGGACACGGGCCCTTCTGCCAGGCCTCCAGCACCTGGTACCAGAGACCAAAGGGAAAACAGGTCAGAGGCCCTAACTTTGCCCCAATTGGCTTGCATTCCAGTGATGCGTCCCTGAGACACATTAGGTAAACCCGGTTTCACCTCTCCCACATTGACAGGCTGCACCACAAATGCCTGCAACACCCACCACCAAGCACGAGCTACACCCTCCTGCACCAGTGCCTACCACTGCCTACCAGGCAGACAAGCTGGTCAATGTGTAGGCCCTCGTCCCCGTGGGCCTTGACAATCCGGACAACAAGGCAGTTGAGAAGGTTCCGTCTCTTCTCCAAGTTCCGGCCCTCTTCATCCTCAGCTTTCAGGTATGTCTGAGGTGGGACAAGCCACACGTCGCCCCTCCTTGGTCTGGGCTCCTTACTGCCATCTCGTATCTTGAGCACCCCTGAAATAAACACTGGTTGTTTGGCGGGGGCCCTCCAGGGGGCCTGATTTCGGCATAGTTTGTTCTGTGGCACTGATTGCGCGTACCTCCTGGTACATCCTTCTGTTCCTGGAGGTCCAAGGGGCCTCTTGAAGAGGTGAGGGGCCCAATTGCCTGATTCAACATGTCCACAGGGAGTCCCGAAAGTGCCAATAGGCTCTCAACAGATACCACCTTAGGAGGAGAGGCAAGAAGCTTTCAGGGACTCCCTAGAGGTGGAGAGAAGAGGATGAAGGAAATTAGCAAAAGTGAGAAAGGAGAGGAAATGGCCCAGGTTACCTTCAGGTCATTGAGATACAGCAGCAGCCACATCTGCACAGTGGACACATGGAGAGTCTGGTCCCCAAACTGCAGCTCCGCCCGGCCCAGCCACGTCCACTGCAGTCTCCTCTGCAGACCTCGCTCTAGGGTAGGGTGGCTCTGACCTGGAGAAGTGGCAGGAAGGGGATGGGAGACAAAGAGTACAGAAAGCATGGAACATGTGTGTGTCATTGGCCAAGTTTTGCCCTGCTGACCTCAGCAAAACATGTAGCCCCATCATTTATGGATAGGGTGGCTCCAGATGTGAGATTCCAGACCATCTCAGCCTCTCTGGGCCCAGCTCCCCGGTAAATCGTAGGCAGTCCTGGGTCAGACAGGCTTATTTGTGTCTCTGAGTAGTGCCCATGTTTGTTTGTTTTAAATATATATGTAGTGCCTGTACTGAGGTTTGAACTCATGGCCTGTGCATTGTCCTTTAGCTTTTTCACTCAAGGCTGGTGGTCTACCACTTGAGTCACAGCTCTACTTCAAGCTTTGTGCTGGATTCAGGCTGGTTCTGAACTTTGATCCTCGGACCTCACCCTTTTGAGTAGCTAGGATTACAGGCATGAGCCACCAGTGCCCAACTAATGCGCTCGTGTTTTTAGGCAGACAAACCATGAAGTGAGGAAGGACCGGCTGAGGCTCTCATCCACCTGCAGTATCTTACGGGGAGCGGAAACTCATTTCCCATGTATCTGGGAGCTCCTGAGGGAAGCTGCTGAGTCTCCTGTTGCTGCCCAGCTCAGGGACCAGCCCCTAGTGGGGAATCTGGGACCACAGATGACTGGTTGGAAAAGAACCACACTCCCACTGTAATTGAAAATCTTTCCTGGAGCCAGGCACTGGTGGCTCATGCCTGTAATCCTAGCTACTCAGGAGACTGAGTTCTGAGGATCGTGGTTCAAAGCCAGCCTGGGCAGGAAAGTCCATGAGACTCTATCTCCAATAAAAACCACTAGAAAACCGGAAGTGGCGCGTTGGCTTCAGCGGTAAAGTGCTCGCCTTGCGCTGAAGAGCATGGGGACAGCGCCCAAGCCGAGTTCAAGCCCCCATGACCAACCAAAAAAAAATAAAAAGGAAAAAAAAAGAAAATCTTTCCTGGCAGCCTCACTCAGGCAGCCTCCTACCGCCACTTACTGGTCCCTCGCTGAGGTTGCTGGGATTTGGCTTCTGAGAGCATCTCTACCCCCAGCCAGATCCCAAGCTTCTCCCTTTCTTCTCAGATCCACTTTTTCCTCCTCAGATCATCTTTTCCTCCATTGGCTAAGGGAGTCTTGCTCCCTAAAGATTACGTTCTTACCCACCCAGGCCCCCATCTAGTCCCTCCCACCTGGCTACTCACTCGTGTTGTAGAA